CGTGGAAAATTACCGTAATTCGGACAGATTAATTGTATATTGTTAAAATTGATTAGCAATTTACCTCGTGACAGATGTATGGATTTGCTTTACAGCACAGATTAATATCTGTTTTAATTGGTTATAATACCCTAACATTGATAATTTGACATCAAAATGAGAAAAACAATTTTTAAAGACTACGGGTTTTCTTATTTTGCGGCGTGGAAAATTGTTACCTTGACCTTAATTGGTGATATATATAAAGTCCAATTATAGTAAAGCATGAAATAGAAATATTTAATATCAAAAATGGGGAAGTAGCGTCCTAATTGTACTATAGAATTGAAAAAGAATGCTTTTGATATTTAATAAAAAGTTAAAATGTAAATAGAGAAAAACATCTTTGTTTCGTAATTAATAATTAAAAAAAAGTTAATTAATAAAATGATGATAATTACAAAAGTAATTATAATTATTATCACTCATTTATATGATTAATTAAAATGATGATGATAATTAAGATAATGATAGACTAAGTGATAATTATACAAATTTTATTTTGCATTAAACAAAATAAATTGCTTATATATTCAAAATTTAACAATACATAGATATAATTTTTTGAAGTTTTCAACTAAGGTTGGGAACAAAGGGTGTTACTTATCGAGAACTTTCCAACTAGCTTACAGAATGTCGGCGGTTCTACTCAGGCGCTTATTCATACCTGAAATAATGCACGGAGAGGCATCTGAGCACTTAGGGAGTCTTCCTCCACCAGTAAAGCTGGAAAGTCGCCATATGACATATACTGTGTTGGTGCAACATAAAACCCAACAAACAAAAAACTTAACAAGAATACAAATTCTATGGAAAAAAAGATTAAGGGATGCATCTTTGGTACAGATATTAAAGGATAATTGATTAAAGTTATATTACTGAAACAAAAATTGAATATTATAGTATTATGACTATAATGATATTAGATTAATGTCTTATTTAAGGTACTATAATAATTATTTAATATTATAACATGTATTAAATGAAAAAAAGAAGAGCCAACGTAATTACTATTAGATAAATTGATAATAAACTATAAATAAATATCTTAAAATTTGCACATTACTGTTGAACGAAAGATGGTGATAATAATACAAACTTGTTTAACTGCATTTGTTTCTTTTGTTTGGAGTAGGATTTCTCATGTACATAACTAAATTGCGTTTTCTATTTTCTGTTGTTTTGCTAAACACAAATTCTATGAAAGTGTAATATTTACCTTCTGTTAACTATGAGAATTGTTGTATAACTTCCTTATTATTTTCTTCTGATGCTTTGATTTAAAACACTATGATTCTTAATTAAAGTGTTTTATTTTCTCTTAGCTACTGCATGATCTATTGTACAACAAATTCTGTTGTTGTTTTGTTAAACACACAAATTTGTATCAAAAGATTTAAATCTCTGCTACTGTGTCAAATTCTTGTAAAACTTCCTGTTTCTTATTTTTCTGTTGCTTTGTTGTCCACCCTCTATAAAAAAGGGTTTATTTACTCTATATATTTCTACTTATTTGTTGTAATTTAAAAACATTTTTTTACTGTTGTTTGTTAAACCAAATTTTTATTAAAGGGACCTTAGCTACTATGTGAATTGTTGTTAAAGTTTCTTTTTCTTATTTTTCTGTTGCTTTCTATATAAAAGGTTTATATTTACTTTAAACTGTAACATCACTTTTAAAACTTTATTTTTATGTTGTTTTGCTAAAAACACATTCTTTTAAAGTGCTTTTTATGCTTTAAATATGTAAATTGTTATAATAATAAAATTGTAAAAAACATTTAATAGAATGTGTGTTTAGCAAAACAACATAAAAATTGTTTTAAAACTTTATTTTTTTCCAGTGGCTTTGTTGTCTGTTTTCTATGAAAAGCATTTATTTGGATAATTTGTTGTAAAATTTGTTTTTCTGTTGCTTAATGTAAATTTTGCACACATTCTTTGAAAAGTGTTGTTTACTATGCAACTACAGTGTCATAGTGTTATATTTTTTTCTTCAATTGTATATGTAGAATCTGGTGTATATGTACATATATCACATAATTGTTAGATATTACACTGATTTGACTACTCCAAACAATTTGTAAATACAATATAAACTGTTGAAATGGGAGCCACACTTTCTCATAGTGTTATAATTACGATAATGAACGGCACACAAACAATACATACTTTCTGCCTCTGTAGAGCAATCATTATATTATAAAAGGTGATGAAAACAATGCCATTATTTACTAACACCATGTCTGGGGATACAATAAAACAGTTATAATTCTATTATATCCCGCTGACGTTGGGAATGCAAATGAAATGAAAAAAACTTAAACACATGTTTGTAATTAGGCAGCTAAAAATGTGAAAAATTCTATTACAGTCGGTAGTCCCATGTAGACAATTAAAAATTGGCGGCTTTTAGTAGGAATTTATGTAACATGTCAGTTTGTACCAGCAGTTGAATTGTTCATTAAATCTTCTCTATAATGTGCCTTAAATGGAATCACCTTTTTCTTTAATAATTATCATATGCTTTTCACTAATCGTCTTGTATTAAAAGTCACATGTGGACAAGAATTTTATCAGCATTTTTAACACACAAATTTGCTTAATTCTGTTTAAATCAGTAAGACTTAATAATTTTAAATATACCGCCTATTTTCATTGGTTAATAGCATTCTATGCTTATCTTTTAATTAAAACATTTCTAGAGTATCGAGATATTATTAAATATGCTTTAACAAGTTTTTACGATTAATTTGATAATTTCATTTTGTTTGACTGTAACACTTTAAGTACCGTTTCATTGGTTAATGTATTGGCCGATGTGTACTGTGATGAATTATATAACACCTTCTCTGACAGCATAACACCTTAAGATATATAGTAATTTATAGACAGAAACAGAATGTCAAACGGTTTTCATTTTCAATCTACTTCCCCTTTATTTATCACATATAATTGGCAATGGTGCAGCCGGTGAAACACTGCATTCCTCACCCCAAGGTCACACTTCTGACCCCAAGGTCGCACACTTGGCTACCATTCATAATGAAGCAAAAATAATTATTTTGGCTCGCTTTCTAGTGAAAATTTTATCATTGTCCTAACTATTTTTAGCTTCATTTTTCAAAGAAAAAGTCGAGCTTTTGTCATCAGCCACTTGTCAATGGCGATGCCTGTTAACCTTTTTTGGTTAAGTTTTCATTTACGGTTATAAATTTCAGTTTACCAGCACTGAGAAAAGTGAAGTTTGCTACTCTATGAACAGCTCTTGTTTAAGCCATGATTTAGCAATACATATTTTACACAATTTTGCAGCAAATTGAAGTATCAAATCCAATTAGATATTGATTAATATTAGGCCTAATTACTATGTATTTAATTTAATTTTCAGTTCATTTTAAGATTTTGAAATTTGCATGTAATTTCAAAATAGATATTCATTTTCATTTAATTAATTTTCAAGCTCTTTGAAATCCTAGAATTTATCATAGTTTCAAAATAAGATATTTATTTTCAAATAGAAGCCATCGATAATCACGCAACACATTTCTCTTGTTGCCTATAAATTGGTTATTTGTAAGCTATTTACTTTCCCGAAATGGAAATGAAGATGAGCAGTTTGTGATAATCTTTCTAAATTAAGAGAAATTAGTGTTTTAATGCTGGAAATTTTGTTAGAATGAGCCACAGCAGAGAATTCTGAAATATATGGCCTCGATAATTAGAACAGTAACGCGATATATTCCAAAAAACACATTCAATCTCACTCTCCCTCATTCCTGTCGCACACTTACGTAACAAAGTCATGTGATTCCGATGAAACTGTCTGTGCAAGCATTTCAGTATATCGGTATTTCAGAGGGGAAAATATTTTTGATTAAAAGCAAAAACACCATCTTTTATTGTTGTGAGAATGTTAGGAAAAAAAAGATAGAAAATAAAACTGTCTTCAAATTGAAGAAAAATATATGTTTTCCTTAAGATTGTTTTGAGTGATGCTTAGTGAGCTGTAGGACAGGTTTAATAGGAAACGTTATCTTTGTATTCCGAGACAGTCTTTTTCTTCCTTTATTTAAATTTCAAGGATAGATGTTTTGGCGTGTCATGTTTCCTTTGGGGTTATGTCTCTTACCCATTGTCTAAATGACATCAAGTGGAGAAAGAAAACTTGTAAATCTCATTTTCAGGAAAACACATAATCTCGAGGGAGATGTTATTTAATTTTATCTGTCTGCTTAGAGTTTGTGAGTTCTGCTATAAATGAAATATATAGTCGCATTATGTTTGAAATGCAAGCAGAAAAAAATGTGCTTACAACGAAATTTCCAAATTTTCCGTTGCGTAGAAGAGACCCAACAAGAGAAATGATTTTCCTATATGTAGAGCTTATGTCAATTTAGGGATTCATTTTGGATTTATGTGACAGCTTACACTGCCATATTGCTCTATAAAATCTTATTTAGACAAACCTTTGTGAAATCAATTTAATTATTGCAGTAAAATATTTCAAATCTCTATATTTTCCGGAGAAAAAAGACATTGCTATTATCACCTTGTCGCTATCCATTATATTTTAATTTCTCTCAGGATCTTTTTTTCTATCTTTCCAATAAAAAAAAAATTGCTTTTATTTATTTATTTTTTTTCCTGATTATATATAAAAAAAAATGAAAAAAAGACATGATGATGAAAAAATTATTAAAAAATACATAAATGAGATAAAAAAGATTAAAATCTTGTTTTTCTTTTCTTTTTAAGACAGCATAATAAATAGTTTTTACATACTATCTATTTATTAAAGAAAGACATAAGGACTGGACAGTGGTCACCTGGTCATTTAGCAATGACAAGATTACAATAGCAAATCTTTAATTACCCTCAACAAGATTATTATCTGTTTTTTAATTTATATATAAAATATTTGATTTTCATGTTCTGAAATTTTATTGATGTGTTTTCAGCCTGGGGTCAAATAGATAAGGACAGGTTGATAGAGAATTAAAGGAGAAGTACCCTCCAGGGCGTAACAAAAGTGTGAAGGACAGTAAAGCAATGGTATAGATCAAGACAGTCCAAGTATACTGGAATTACCAATGCAAGAACACAGTTGCAATTAAACCTTCTACCACTGCCTTTGGTTATTAAGCTATAATTGGACAAAAAATGTTAACATTGGGCAGCTAGAGCTGGGACATATCTTGTGGCATTGTTATTTGGAGTAATTCATGCGGGTGTCATAATCGTATTACAGACTCTTTAATGATGTTTGATTTTGAAAAATCGGCTGTGAAATTTCCTGTATGGAAGTTATAGAATATATTCAGTGAAGCAGATCATTTAAATAGGTAGAGTAGATATAGAGAATAAATGAGAGTGGAGTAACTGCAGTTTGATCAGTGATACACTGAATGTGAAACCGAGAGAACCATTTACAAGTGTGTTGTACTGGATGAATTAAACAGAGGGAGTTAAAAAGATTTCTAACTGATGTTTATTTGAATAACGCTATTGAAGTGAAAGTGGTCGATGTTGAACTGAAATTTTTTTACTGAAAAATAAAAGGATTAAATTCACTTCGGCAGAAAAGAACTCGAAAAAAATATTGAGAAATTAATTTAGTGAGATGATTTTTACACGTACATTTGCGGATACGATCTATTATTCATGAATGGATTTTTATTTATGAAAATATAGAAGAATAAGAGATATTGGTGCTATGCATGGGAATTTATGAAGAAGAAGGAAAAAAAAGTGTTTTACTTATAAATGAATAGATGGTGAAATGTTGAAAGAATGACTTTAATTAAATTCTGACTTGAAATTGATATGATTTAAAAAAAAAAATCTGTAGTTTATAGAATATTTTCCTGATAATATAAGTGGCGGATTTAATTACTGGAAAATCAAGATGGCGAGAAAAATGATATATTTGTGTGTTTTATTAACGTCGATGGGGATTACGTGTTTAGCTCAGGATGTTACATACCATATCGATGAAGAACTTAGTAATTCTACGAAAATTGGAAATATCGGAGAAAATTCAAATTTATTTTCAGCAATTGGCGGAAGTGACTCTTCGACATTAACGTTTAGCTTCTTAACAACAGGTAATCAATACTCTCATTATTTTAGAGTCGGTGAGAATAGCGGGGACTTGTATACAAATGCCAAAATTGACCGAGAGGTGGTCTGTGAATTCACCGAAACGTGCATGCTCGTACTTCAGATCGCAGCAAAATCTGAGTTAGGCAGCTTTTTTAGAATTCTGAAAGTACATGTTTTTATCAACGACATAAATGACCATTCTCCAGTATTTGAACAAACAACTCTGACATTACCAATATCTGAAGCCGTGTTAGTCGGGACATCATACGCCATTGACGGGGCACGAGATCGGGACACTAGTCCGGAATTTTCCTTGAAACAGTATGAATTGCAGTCGGTAGACCCAGATTTTACAGGAAATTTACCATTTTCGATTCAGTTTGCAAAACATTTAGATGGCAGTTCAATCATCAGGTTATATGTGACGGAACCATTAGATCGGGAAGTTAGGGATGCATATCACCTTGAAATAACTGCTTTTGATGGTGACATTCCCCCAAAACAAGGGAGACTACCATTATTTATTCTAGTATCTGATGCCAATGACAATCAACCACAATTCGATGCTCCGTCTTATAACTGTACCGTTAGTGAAGAGACAGAGAAGGGGGCAGTTATTTTACAGCTTAATGCGACCGACCTTGATTCCGAGGATAATGGGAAAATTAAATATAAACTGAGTCCCCATCAGAGCAGTGAAATTTTTCAAAAGTTTGCTATTCGTGAAGATACAGGGGAGATAATTCTGAAGGAAAAAATAGCATATTCACCTGGAAAAGTTTACAGGATTATTGTTGAAGCTTACGACAATCCAACTGATGGCCAATCAATGTCCACACAGACATTTGTAATGGTAAATATAGAAAATACTGGCAATAATGCCCCGAAGATAGTATTGAATTTGTTAACACAAACAGACATTGCCGAAGTATCCGAATCGGCAAACATTGGTAAAGTTATTGCCTTCGTTGAAGTTGTGGATCATGATGAAGGAAAACAAGGAATTGCCAGTTGTATTATTCAGAGTATAGACTTTGATATACAGAGGATTGATATGAATAAGTATAAAATCTTCGTCTCACAGCTGCTTGACTACGAGAGGTATCAGACGCAAACTGTCACCATCCATTGCCAGGACAACGGTAAACCCCCATTGCCAGCTTCAGCCTCCTTCAACATATCTATCCTAGATAAAAATGATAACGCACCAGTGTTTAACATGACTCCCTACACCAAAAACGTCAGAGAAGATTTACCAGTTAGTGAATTCATACTTCAAGTTAGTGCTTCAGATTTAGACTCTGGAAGAAATGCAAAAGTTCACTTTGAAATTTCGGATAGATATACCCATAGAAACTTTTTTTATTTCGAGAATTTACCAAACAACAGGGCTAATTTACGTCTGAACAGATCTCTAGATAGAGACACTCTGTCCTCCTATGTTTTTCCAATCTATGCAATAGACGAGGGTGAAGAAGGAGAATCATCGAAAACAGGCTCAGCTATGGTTAACTTGCATATTACAGACGTTAATGATGAAAAACCAGTGTTTAAAAAGTCTCCATTCACTATTGTGGTGCTTGAAAATCTTCCTGCTGATACTCCAGTGGGAAATGTTGTCGCTACAGATAAGGACCTTGGAATTAATGCACAAGTCGAATACAAAATACATCCAGATTATAGAAATAAAGTTCCTTTTGTTGTATTTTCAAATGGAAATATCAAGACAAACCAAGAACTGGATAGGGAATTCAAAGATCGTTATGAGTTCAAAGTGATTGCCACTGATAAAGGTGAAAAACCCCAAAGTAGTACTGGATCTGTAGTGGTGCTAGTTTCTGATGCTAATGACATGTATCCGGAAATTCGCTTTCCAAAACCAACTAACAATACAGTTAATATAATGCAATCGGTCAAACCATGGCAAATTGTGACCAGGGTGCTTGCTAGTGATGGTGATGAAGTTGGAACTGGAAACAGTAGGTTGCAATATGATATAACAACAAGAAATGATTCTCGCCTCTTTAAAATCAATCCAAACAGTGGCGATGTTCAAATAACAAAATCGATCGATGAAGCGTACATCGGGAAATTATTTAAACTAGACATAAGTGTATCAGACTATGGTACACCAACGCCGAAATCAACACCATCAGTGCTTTACATCAGAATTAAATCAGACAATGCTACTAAACAAGAAGTCGAGTCTGATGTCCTTAGTAATCAGAACTTCTTAATAGCTATAATAGTGGGAATCGTGACAGTAGTGCTCTCCCTTGGAATCTTAGCCACCATTTGTATTATTCGTAGAATAGATCGCGAAAGAAAGGAAGAACAAAAGAGAAAGAATAACAATCAAATTAAAATTGATCCTGATTTAAATGAGAGACAAGTATTTGATGGTAGTATTACAGTGTTTTCGCTGCCATCAGAGGATAGTTTACTTAATGAGAAGAAGAAAAAAGAAGTCAGTTTTTCGTTGGAAGATGATGTGTTTTCTGACGATGACCTGATAACAAAGAACGGTTTAGATAGCAGTCATCGGCACTTTAAGGTGAGTAAATGTCATGGCTGATTAAATATATTTGTGCTATATCATAATCTATGTACATACTAAATTCCATGGATATTAATTGTACATAAAAATTGCCATGGTTGTTGATTGTGCCAAGTTTATTAACTGTTTTCTATTTTCATTTAATGAAAAAACTGTTAAAGACAATAAAACTAAAGTTGTGTTTATTGCTACCTGCTAATTATTTGCCTCATTTAATATTCTGTTAAATATTGTGTTATCCTTACAAATCATGAAATGATATTTGATTTAAAGTTATTGCCTATTTTCTGCTTGTAAAATGAAATCATCTTCACCAAAACTGATTAAAGCTAGATCTCAACAGTTTTATTGCTGATTGAATTTCACGAAAATCATGAAAATCAGCTTTTTGATCTGCTGTAGTGTAACAACGAAGATTGTAGGGTTAAAAATAAATATTTTGTTTTATACTTTTTTAAACATTTTATCAATATTATGAAAAAGCCTAAGTCAACATTTATGGAAACTGAAAAATGCATTTTAATGTTCACCGAAGAATTTTTTTATGACTTGAGACGTATAAGTCGATGTCAAATGTTAATGTTGAAGCTGAAGATATGACTTTAATTTAATGACTTTAATGAACTTTTGGTGTAGGTTTTGTGTCATGACTAAGATGATATCCAGTCTTCAACGTTTTGTCGTTAAATACATGAAATAGTATTGTGAAAAACGGAAATAAATGGTGTTTGATGTGAGTGAAAGGGCAACATTTATTACATATATTTGACGTATATTTTGAGTTTTATATGATAATATTGAATCATCCACAGATCTGAAGCTGATGAGACCCATAAATCGTTACTTACTGTCATAAATTGTTATAATATTATTTATATAAATCTAACATTTTCGTAATAAATAAATCAAACATAGAATTTTATTTTTCGTTCAGTTTTTTACTTCTTTTTTATAAATTTTATGCTCAAGAATATTAAAGTACTATGAATATTATGTACTGTCCACATTGAGTCACATTAACTGTGTAATACTGTGATTCCAACACTTGTGCGGCTAAATTTGAATGCTTTGAATTTGGAAATGCCCAGCGTTATTTCAATAAAATAAAGCTAATGAAAGTTGATCAGCCAACAGTATACATGTAGAGCCAGGTCAGATTGCTTGGTATGTTAAGACGTGTCCAATTTTCGCTCTTGATGGGTAGCATACTATTAGTTCATATCCGGTATTCAATAGGGGTTAAATTTCACCGATGCTTCTAAATTTGATAATGTTTTAGTATGACGACTTCAGTTACATTATACTTTATGCAAATCATTATATCGCCACTAAGCAATTTGAAAGAGTAAAATATAAAAATTAAGCACAAACTGTTGCGTACCCTTATATCGATAAACAACAGCAAGTATAATAGGATGAGTGAGTAATGTTTTATGATTTATTGGCATTTAAGCTATTTATATCCTAGGAAAATGAACAGTGAAGATTGAACAGTTTTCATAATTACCGAAAATACGAAGAGTATTTTTAACAGGCTCTTTTAATATTATTAGGATATAATTCTCGTTATTATTCCGCATGTAGAAATAAGCCCAACGCTCATTTACGACGCTTAACTTTTATACGTAAAGTATCAAAATCTTGGAATTGCACCAAATACCTTAAAATATATCAATTTATGGGATTTTGGGCTTATAAATGCATGCATTGTAATTGGCGAAGAAAAAAGTTTAATTTTTATGTCGTAAAATCAATGGGCAATGAAAATATCTGAAGTTGTACGAAAGGTATTAAATTTCAAGACCATTAGTTAGTTTTATAGACAGTAAAAATACCTATGGCACCATAGGAATGAATCAGAATGGATTGCAATATTTTTACAATCACCACTTACATGTGTTTATGATTAGAAATATTTGAATCATTTTCCTTTGAAGAGAAAATGGTCTGACTAAAATCGTGTTCCATGTTATTCGCAGCAAATTAGATTATACGGTTGTTGTTTTTTAAGTAAAAACATTTATTTTTTTAATTGTGACCACAGCAGGGGTTGCCCTGAGCCAAGTAGAATAATTTTCTTGGTGTATAATTTTCAAAAATAACATTTTTCATTTAGAAATAAAATTTTGTGTATTGTTAAATTGAAACATTTTTTTATATTTTTTTTTCACTCAAATCACCTGATGTTAAGAAGACAAAAACAACAACAACAAAACTTAACTTATAGTTGTAACAACTTCTTCTCCATAAAGTAGATGTATTTTAGATGGAGGTTTCTGCAGCTTGTGTTGCTAAGGGAAGTTCTAAGAGCATAATGTATATAATTAAAGCAATTAAGAAAATAATTAGCGTAACATGATTCCATTGTTTACAGAAGCATTCTGGGAAGGCTTTGTCACAACAGGGATGCGGTAAGAATTACATTCCCAGTGACCTCACCACCCCATTCTTTACTCCCCTTCTGGGTGATCATTGTTATTTTGACAAGATAATGTGAGATAATTTGACTAATTATATTACCTATAGAACAAACAAGATGTCTACTAGAGGTAATTTCCTCCACCTAATCTACCTGATAATGATGACAGAATTCGATGTAACGCCTTACGTCCTAGCAATGCATTATACCAGCCTATTACATTACTGGTACCTGGCTAATTTATTATGATCCAAAACGGTGGCAATTGAATAGATTTTCTACCTAATTACAAACAAGTATATGTCAAAATGTTAGGCAAGGTTGCAAAACGAACCTGCAAAAGGTGTTGGCAAATATTTTGGTGAAGGAATATTTATCACCTATATATACCATACCCCCCCCCACCAATTTGTTTCCGTCAAAATATCCAATACTTATGATATTTATTAAATAATTATTCCTATTGGTGATATTTAAATGTTCCATACTATTTTTAGTGAAAATGACAAAAAAAAATGATAAAAAAAATATAATGATATTTATGTTTAACGAAGTTTTCAAAAAATCCATCTTTCTGAAGAAAAATAAAGTATGAAGAGTTTAAAAGTTAAGTATACCTGGCTTAATGAAATAATTATTTTAACCCAGACAGTGTTAAATATCTTAAAAGTTCAATATCTACTAAACAAATCTTTTTTTTTTTGGGACAATTTCAAAATATGTACAGACTGAAAAGCCTAAATTATACAGACTATGATCACATGACTTGGACATGCTGGCTGATCTTGGTCTGGCACTGGTCGCATGTCCGGTAAAATACGTTGCCACCAGCAGACAGTGATCAGACGGCACAAATAATTATACTGACTGATCTTGAACCGCACCAGTCGATGCCATGTCCGGTAGAATCTGTTGCTGTCAGCCGGCTTAGGGCTAAAGGTTTTTTTACCAGATATCTGTCTGAAGTTACATGTAAATAAAGTAATTAACACTTTTTTGTATAAATTTAGAACTAAAAATTATCTGATTTATTTTAGGACAGCAAGTTTATACACTTATAGCACAATTCATAAGTAAAATATTTATTCGCTTGACAATTACAGTTTAGTTTTAGTACTGGTATTTTAGATTAAAACCATTTTTCTTACAGAATTATAACTTGAAGATTATAAATTCCTTTAGGAAAAACAAATTATTTTGAATATTTGGTGTTTATGATAAATTGGGCATATAGAAAGATATCGCCAGTGTCTGAAAGTTTGTTTATTCATAAGAAAGTTAAAAGAAGGGATATATATATATATTCTATATTGATATCAGGAAAGCAGAGAGATGATTTATATTATTAGATATTGTATGTTGAGGTTAAAAAAACAGAATTTAATATATAGCATCTGTTAACCAGCGAGTGACTCGAGAAGGCTGAAAGCTAATGATAATAAATATAGCTTATATTTCCTCCCAGGTACATGCTCAAATTCAAGATAAATAAATGGTGTATTTTCAGAAATTGAGTAATAGTAATAGAATAATGTAATATGTGCAATCTGGTCAACATGCAATTTTGCATTTCTGACATTATTGGCTTATTTAAGTTACCTAGACTTATTTCTGTTGAAAATGCGTCAGAATACTTTTGCTAATAATATAGGAGATCGAAAAAACACCCTATTATTATAAATTCGTATTTATTATAAATTTGAATAAAGCAGTCTAAAAGCTTGAAGTGTGACACCCATCTGAATTCTTTATTAGTAGGCAATTAAACTCTTTCCTCCAATTGTGCGAATTCTTTCTTTTATAAAGACGGTATTGAAGTTACTATATTACTTGTATTGTAACCCATTTGTTCGTCTTGTGTTTACCGAAGGAATAGAAATGAACATAAATAAAATCAAATCAAGTGGATTTCAATGGATTTTAATTTCCATCAATACTATGTTATGTTGAAATATGGGCAAACGAGAAATTAAAGACCAATACAGTCAATTATAGCTTAGTCTTTTTAGGCGATATTGTAAAGAGTTGAATGGGATTTGGTTATTAAAGAGTGCAAATAAATTATTTTGATATGACGTGTAAAATTATAGTATTTTCGTTTATCACAACGATCATTTTATAGTGGATATGCGAACAATACAAGTGAAAAAGTTAATTTTTTTCGAATATAACGAGATAATAAACCGATTTAGAAAATTACATCTTTCCATTTTAACACGAGAACAATCATTATACTTAATATAATACGAACGATCAAGAAAGTTTTAATCGTGATGAACATGATTTATGAATTTTAGGTCGCTCGAGCCCACCTCGACTTAATTCAAGCAGCTATTGTTCTTTTTTTTTCTCTCTCAAACTTTACTAGATTTATTCTCATGCAATAGTGAAACCTATTTTAAAAATAATTTGTTTCGAGAGATCGCGTAACAGCATAATAGGTTTTAAATTTCCTATGATATCTTCCATGATGTACATTTGATACATTTGTAAAAACACAGTTTTCCTCTTCATATATGATACTTGTCATTTTATTTAGTGGCGTATGTCGTCAGATTTTGTCCTTCATTTTAAGTGG